GGCATGTGTTCAAAACCTTGTGCGAAGGGTGCAATGTATGTGTGATGCATATTATAGCGAAAAATCTGGATAATCAATCAAATACATAGCAAATACACAGGCATAATTAACAAGGAGAACCGTCATAGAAACATACAAGAATACCAAGTCAGCTCATTCAAAAGATCATCGACAACAAAGACGAATTAAGCAAAACGTTCATATTCCAATAAACTATGAAAAATTGTTGGGAATACATAGTTCAGATTCAAAACAGGCACAATGGAAAATACAAAGGTAAATCTAAGGAGGAAGAGTGGCGGTCGAATCCGCATTGCTCTGATTAGCGTTGGGACCGGGAGGATGGCTGGTCCCGGAGGTCGAGTCGCAAGCTTCATTAAGTGGACGCTGGCGAATAGACTCAGTCAGCACGGCCAACATCGAGGCTGGAGGAGTTAGACCATCAGGCAGAGCATAAGTTTTCTTCAAGATATCTGATCGAGCCAGAGTCTTTTCGAGTAGCCCCGACCACCACTCGTGCTCAGAGGGTAGGCTAGGATCGCCCTAGAAGCTAGAAGGAACATTGGGCAAGGCCTCCCAGATAGCCCCAGGGTCGAGCTACTCGAAGTCGTCCTCGGCGATCTGCTCGCCGGCCTTCTGAAGGGCGAACTGAAAGCAGTCCACCCCAAAGTCTTGCACCTCCTTCAAAAATTGGGGAAACCGCATATAATCGGCCACCACTTGTTCACGGAATTTACGAAGGAAAAGCTGCCCAGTTGTTGTGCCCCACATCATTTGCCGAGCTCGAAGAGCTGCAGCATCAGCGTAGCGTTTGCATTGGCTGGCGTGGGCAGCCCTTTCTTTGGCTAAGGTAGCCTCCAGCTCAGCTCGAGCAGCCTCTGCCTGCATCCGAGCAGCCTCCGCCTACACTCGAGCAGCCTCCGACTGCGCTTGAGCAGCCTCTGCTTGTGTTCGTTCAATTCCCTCTTGCTCGAGCGCAGTCTCATTTTCCTTCAGCGCAGTTTATTTCTCCGCCACCGCAAGCTCCTTTGCCGCGAGGGCGGCTTCTCTCTCCGCGAGAGCCATATTCTTCTTGGTGAGCTCTTCATCAAGGGACTTAACCATGACTTCAAGCACGACCTTATGTTCTGTCTGGGTCTCGCGGAGTTTAGCGTTGTGCTGCACAAGGGTAGATTTTTTATCTTGCAGGTAGCCGATGGTGCCCTCGAGGCCCTTTATCGACTTGCCCGAGCTGTCTCGGGCCTCCATTGGCCAAAGGCAAAAAATCGACCAGGCCCTATCAACAGAAACGATGAAGTAATTCAACATATGCATCGACAAAGCAAAATGAGAAGAACCAAGGTAAAGTTAGAGATGAATAATACCTGGGCGAGCCACTGCACGAGCTTATCGCTAACTCGGGCAGAGTGACGCTAGCCCTTTTGCGGTCGTCCTCGAGAAGGGCACCCTCGAGGCGGTCGGCTACCTCGTTTACGGAAGCCGATAAAAGAGACGTCGATTTTGGGGCCAGCGGATCAGGCCACTGATGACTGGTACGCCTTCGTTTCCAGACCACCTCACCTTGGTCGGTGCGAGAGCGCTTCCTATAATATCCCGTCAGTTTATTAATATAAATCATGTTATAGTTCCAATATAATAATATTGTCGAGTATTATTTTTCGAAATTAATTATTTTCAGTCAAAATTACCGGAAATTATTTTCGACGTTCCGTTTACGATCGGAATAATTTTGTAATTACATATTATGCTTAATAATTAATTAGGCATAATTACTGATTAATTAACAATTAATCACGTTTATAGCAATAAAAGCTGTAGCAAATGAGAATTACAATCCCAAATGCCGTACCATTCTTCAAGCATAAGGAAGCAAATTTTTCCTCTTCTTCAAGCACCTACACGTGTCATCTCAAGACGATTAAAGGGATGACTAATCAATTTAGATCTTTAACTAGCTTCCAAGTGGCAAGATGGTGTGAAGCTACCATGGCCCCATGTCACACATATTTTCCCTACGACTTAGTATATAAAGGATGACTTAGGGAGAAATTTTCCCCATTCTCTTCAGCATATAGTAAGTCCTTCAATACTTATATAAGAGTTAGAAAGATTAGATAATTTCCTTAAGCAAGGAGGCATAGCAAGCAACGACACCGCACACCATCACCGAGAGCCACCGCACACGCACATGTTCCGAGTGACCGCAAGTAACGAGTGCGTTCAACCGAGCATTCAAGAAGGTAACTTCAGTTACCTTTAATTGATCATGTTAAATTCATATTGGTTCAGTTGCATAGTCATGTTCATGAACGGCTTCAAGCCGTACGGCAGTGCGTGTG